AATCCGCCGCGCTCCAACTACTACACTATAATAGGGTAGATACTGAAGGGTCCAAAAGGAAGGCAGAGCTCGGCTTGGACTGAACGTGCCATGCATATGGCAGAATTCCGGACGCTGGTTGTGCGTACGCTTCCATGCAGTGGAAAGGAAAACCCCCTGAAACATCCAGGAAGTGGTACAGGTTTCAAAGCCCCTGGGATGGCTTGCCGAAGCTCAAGGCTAGCCCCTTTGAGAGTTTCATGCCCTTGGCCAGGAGGATTCGGAACGGATCACAGATCTCACGCTGGGCGATACGCTGATTCGAACATTTGCGAAGAGGCGCTCGTAGTGAACAGCTGTGCAACGTTGGTATGACTCTTGCCTGCCCATGAAGGAGATTTGGGTTTTGACAGATCTGCTTTTGATGCCTGCCGGCAGGGCAGTTGGCTTTGCCGATCTGGGCAGCGAGGACACTCACAACAAGCACTTGAGGCAACAAGTTTATTTGGAGAACTGCTGCTTCAGTGTCATTCTTAGAAGCTGTGTTCTGACAGGTTGTCGAGCCTCTCCGTCTTAACTGGGGCCGGTGCAAAGCCCGCAGTGCGCAAGGCTGTCGTCGTCAATAGGAACACGACTGGCAGCTAAATGTGAGGAGCGATACGAGAAGTTTTTTAAAGCCATAAACCGAACAGCCTGTGTAGAGCTGAGCAGATTGCGCTGCTTGCTGCGCAAATTTCTGCCTGGAAAAAGACTTGCTGGGCTAACATTTGCACGTGCTGGCACGGTACGTCAGTACCATGTGACAGCATATTCAAATAGCTCATGCATACTTGACATTCGGCAGATGTGATACAGTTTGTCCATCATTTTGAGCATATTTGGCAGATATGAAAAATGTGCCAACATGCATGGAAAAGCCCGCGGTGCGCGCAAGACAAAAAATTGAGGCTGCAACCAAAATCGAAGCTTGTCCGCTGTTATCTGGGGCATTAAAGGTATTGTAGAATACATCCACTCCACAAAATGATAACCGGCTGGTGAGTTCGAGAAACTTGTAGGGCAGTGGGGTCCGAGAGGATTGGGTTGCATCCTGTTTTGCGGAGAATGTACCGGCCTGCCAAAGGCAGCGGTTGGGTTTTGCCGAAGGCAAAGAGAGCCAAAGTCCAGTAGTGCTTAGCATTCTGCTTCACCCCTGCCGTGCCAGGATCCTTCCGGTTGGCCATGGGGTGCAGGGGCCACGTGCTTGCACTTATCTGCTATGCATCTCATACCAATTCCCACCAGGGCAATTGCCAGAACAAGCCTTCCAATAAATTCTAATAGCACTGCATGGCCTGAGCGTCCGTGTCTTGGGCAAATGATGTAGACATTGGTGGCCCTCTGTTTTGTGCGCCTCACCACGCGACGTTTGTCCGTCTGATCCAGGCTGGCAGGATCTCAAAATGCTGTGGCGGCTCAAAAAGACGTGTGCAAGCATGGGTCAAGCATGGCTGCAAGCGGCTTGTGTCTTTCGGGAAAGAATAAGCGCCAACTGGCTGATTTTTGAACTTGCGGAACGATTCAGTGTCTTACAGACCTCACGGGGCATTCTGTTTGGACTTGCAGCTTCTCAAGAACGAGTGCAGGTAATGCAGCGGCGACACATTCGGCAATTCTTCGTCCTGGGAGGCAGGATGGGCAGGAAGAATTGGCATGGAGATGGGCGCATCATACCACAACCCAGGTGACGGAACTCACAAAGGTGCCGCGCTCCTAGCTCCAGCTGGCAGTCTGATCCCCTCGACCTTTGACAGCTTACCATGTCGCTCAGAGTGTGCCGGAGTTTGCAGAACTGCAAGGCTATGCAGTCCTTCAAGTCGATGACAGAGATTGGCCATGAGTCCGTACCTGAGCTTTCCTGAGATTAGAACAGGTGGCGCTGCACGAGTCCTATCCTGTGGGCCGTCGAGTCCACTGATGTGATGACCTTGCTGCGCCTCAAGTGTCAATCACGTGGACCGAAGGTGTGCCGTCGTGGGTGTGCCGAAGACCATTGACAACGACATCACCCTCGTGGACTGTGTTACAAGTTGAATGGGAATGCTTGATGATGCAATCTAAAGTAGGATTTCCTGACACAAAACAGGGCCCTAAAAGAGGGAACCGTGCGTGGAGGATCGTACATTTGGCTTCGACACGGCGTGCACGGAGGCCTACTGATTGCAAACATTGTGGCTGGTAGTGCGCATTGGAGGTGCCAGAAGCCCGAAGTAGCATGATGTCATGTGTTTTGAAGTTCAGCGGCTTGGTAACTGTTATTTGTTATGTGCGTTTATGTCAGACAGTTTCCCAGCCAGGCACGCAAGGCAATCGATTCGGCATACATTGAAGCGACCACGAACGCCAACTGCATTGGCCTGGTCAAGCTGATGGGTTCCTACACTCAGCTGCAAAGGAAGGCAGAGGAAATGCCACACAAGCGCATGAGGGGCAAAATTATGACGGCCTTACTCTAGATGGTGGCTCATACAGGAAGTGGTCCCAAATTCCGGTGAAACTTTTATGAACTGGCCAGGTACAGGTTGGATCAATCATATACAGGGTCGGCGCGGGACTACCTGGCTGGGGCTGAGCCTGAGGTCGCCACTGCGGCTGGATCGCTTCGACCGCCACCATTGCTGCGCCCATTTCCTGAGCTCAGAAGGAAAATCAGTTTCAACAGGGATACAGTCTTTAGCCTGAGGCGTAATGTTGACATTTGCCTCATCCCCGAGATGGACATCTCTCTGGCAAGCGTCATGGACTACGTTGCAGAGGCTGCTCCTCCTGCAGATTGTCAGAACGCAACATCGCTTTTGTCAGCTGTGTGCGGTTAGCAGCTCCTGGATGTGCGTCAAGAAGCTGACAGGTGATGCGCCGCCAAAAATATGCCGTCATTGTCGTGGCGGAAGGCTTCTTCCTTGCAAGGAGGGCTTAAAGGTCACGAGTCTGCCCGCGCACGTCTTGCTTTGCCTGATTTCAGGGTTGCGCAACTTCCTGCTTGTATCTCTGTTTGTGACGAGCCCTTCTAAGCGTCACTTGCAAAACCTGATCAGGTTGTGGAGACACTCTCATTACAAGTGATGGGGGCAAGGATGCAGGCGGCAACAAGGTCCTGGCGGACATAGGCCTGGGCATCATGCTTGAAGGTCCTGTTGTCCATGCTAAAACGTTGCTGTCCAGGACCTTTCTTGAAGGATGCCATCACCAAACACCTGAAGAGCATTGACATACCAGTCAGCATCAAGTCCCTGGGATGCAATGCTTCGATTTAATGTAGTAGCTCCGACGGGCTGTGGATTCTGCAGGCACAGAGCCTTAATGATGCTATTCCGTATGGGTGCTGTTTGATCATGCGCAACTGTCGACGAACACGATGATTGAACAAGCAGTCAACAACTGACAGGTATATCGACCCGACATACATGATTCGGGCGGTGCCGGCCAATGCTTTCGACAGTATCTACTGTTCGGTCTTGGCCCAGATGGCAGTGCATGCCGCAATGGTCCCTCGACCGAAGCGGAACGATGCGTTGTCGGTTATAGAGAGGCAACCAAGCGGTCTGCATGCATTACTACCGGTGTTGATCAAGGCTGGTTACACGGGCATTAGCGTTGGCAAAGTGGATGAACGCTACGTGATGCTCCCAATCCACTCAATCGTCGACAAAGGAGCGCGAAAGGCCCTTGGAGCATCTCCGCTCACGGTGAACTTGTGATGGATTTATCACATCTCCACATCTTTCCTGATGTGTTTAGTTCCAGTTCCTGCAGGTGGACCTGCGAAGCAGATTCTTCGAGCGCATGCTGGATACCACTGGACAGCCAAGCTTTGCCCCATGAGGCCCTTTCAGTCCTTTCATTCCGCGTGTGCACAGCATGTAGTTTTTTGGCTCATTTCTATTTCTTTTTATGAGCCTGTCAAGTTGTCCAGGACTTGCGACATCTTGCAAGCTTTGTCACCGGAATGGTGCGTAAGTGCCTTGGGTGTCCTTGCACCCAGATCTCAGACAGGCTTCTCAACGCTTCAGGGGTGGTGTTGAAGCGAATTTCCACGTATTGTTGATATCTGGAGGCTGCTCTAGGCCTGTATTTGCACTGCAAATGTTAGATGTCTGGGAGAGCTCTGAACAATTCGATTCCACTCAGCGGTCTTTCTGCGTGGAAGTGCATGACATGTCAGAGGTGTCACCTCAGTCTGGCTTTCCGAGAGCAATCAGCCGAGAAAACAGGCGAAGAAGCCAGGAACTGGAGATGGCCAGATTGCCATCGATTTCGATTTCGTGATACCGCGCTCTAAGAGCTGCTTAAACAGTGATGATGGAGACATCCCTCAAGCTGTTAGTCCACAGAGAAATGCTGCCAGCTGTCCTGTTGGTGGGATTGATGTCTCCCCTCGTCACAGCCGCCGAGTTGTGTACGCACATTCCGGCATCAAATGATGTGTGTATTTGCGTGCAGACGTGCGGCGAGCCATCTTTAGCATGGTGATCACCGCCGATACCGGCTGACACCATGGAATGAACAGAGGCTGAGGTGCAATAATGTGCAATGGTTTGCTAACGGAGTGGAGTCTTGTCACAGATTGGACCTCAGGATTCCCCGCAGCATTCGACCAAACAGGAAAATGGCAGTCTACCGAGTCTACCGTAAATCCTTGCCGAAGACAATGATGCCAACAAACACTTCTGCGACTGACCTAGCCAGTCTAGGGCTAGGGATGAGATTTGCAGGCTTTGCTAGTCTGCGGACGAAAGTTTTTCCTTTGACTCCCCCTTTCCTCTCCTGCCAGTTCTGTGGAATCTGTTCTGAGTGCCATGGCCGTCACCCCGTTAACACGAAAACTCAGAGGCTGGCTCTCGATCCCGAATTATGCTGGGAGTCTGTTTGGCAGCAGGGCCTTGAAGTGAGCTGTCTCGAACTCACAGGATTGTCTGTGACCTCTTTTGCGTTGAGGTCTCCAATCTGTTCATTTTATTGTTAGCGTGTGCGTCGCGAAAGACAAGGGTTGAGAGCGGATGCCAGTCGCAGAAGAGGCAAAAGATGAGGAGGTCAACCATGGAAGACTGGACAACATCCCTGCACAAGGTCCTTCCTCAGTTGGTCAAAGGTATGCAGGCCTCGGTCCCGAGTGGTGAAGAAGGCGTCTTACGGCCTTATGGCTTTGAGAGCAGGCGTGATGGTGGTGTCAAAGTAAATATGTCAGTAATGCTTTCTACATGCGACCACAAGCGTGAATCGCCGAGACCTCCACAAGATACATTGTGAGAAGCATCAGCACAGATTAGGCCCTTAGGCGTTAGCTTTGCATTCTCAGACAACTGACTGTCAATTTCATAGGGCTCCAGAGTAGCAGTGTGCTCAAGCTTGGAGCAGAGTCATTGCTTGGCAGCTTAAGTGCCCATTTCCATCCATATCCATTTCGGCTACCAGTGCCATGGCACGAGCTTTGCTCCTGGTGTTCTTGCTGAACGCGGCCTTCGCGGACGTGCCCTGGGAGGTGGGGCACTGAAGCAGCAGATGCCAAGCGTACGGCATCTGGTTTGTGGATGTTTGTGGAGGCATGGCTGCAGAATTTCGGCCATGACTCTTTCAGGCCGGGGGACTGCTGTATATGCCAATTGGTTGTCATGTCCAATGTATGTCTTCCCTTTGGTCTGGTAGGGTAGGGGCAGGACAAAAGAGGTTATGCTTGTCAACCCGATGCCTGCTACGGCGCAAATGTTTACACGCAAAAGCGCTTCGCGATTATCGGAACTTTCAATTACAAGTGCCCCAAATCCCAGAAGGCGCTTCGCAGTGACAAACTCACATATTTAGATCTGCACATGCCCCGGTCACCGTGGTGCCTGGGGCCGTAACCTGTGTAATCATTGTAGGGTTTCAAGCTGTCTGATTTTGTATTCCACAAATTTGTGGTTTTGAGCATGTCACAAGTTTCATGGTCGAATTCCGAGCGTCAGGGTATTCTCAAGCATGAGTCGGTCCATTTGCTGTTTCTGTTGATGTTGGTGTTGCAGATTGTGCTTGAGCAGTGTGCTCGCAGAACCTCTAGCGCTTGATTGTATTCGGATTTTCAATTCAGAGTCTACATGAATTGCAGTTGTTGGCCGTGCAGTGTCTTCTCATTTTGCAGGCTGGGGTATTGTTGGGCGGCCTATGCGGTTTGCGGAATGGGAAGATTTCACGAGGTTCTTGCATTTCATTCAATGCCGACTGGTGTATTGAGGATGTCACAAGCTCAAAGGTCAAATTTCTCCAGCGCGAGTCGGTTGATTTGCTGACTCTGTTGATGTTGGCGTTGCGGCTGCTCCTGCTGCACCCTGCCACCCTCCCCACCATCCCACTGATCTCCCAACTCAACACATGCTCCTGAAGCGCTTGATGTCTCGGAAATGCCTTTGGCCCTCGACTTCGATTTGGGAAAGCAGCTTGCCAAGCAAGTGAAGACACACCCCTCCATGTACCACATTTTGGGCTCTACTCATCTCCAGCTGCCCATAGTCAAGGGGGTGCAGCTAGGAAACAAACTCACCTGAATCACTATCTGTTTTCTTCAAGGCTACATGCTGACTGGCCCATTTGCTGAAGCATGATGAGCCCGGCATGCCGCACAGGTATCCGAGCTGGATTAGAGAGCAGATGGAGGCATCCTCGTACTACCTGTTGCTTGCATTGGTAGTTATGGTTCGTCCGCCAATACATCCGAATGCGCAGAAGGCCTGCCATTGCCAAGTTGACTCCGGTCTGAAAGCCCGCTGCTGGCGACAGGAGGCTGGGGTATCTGCCAGTTCATGCCTTCTTTCATCTTGCCCTTGTGCCCGCCTCGATGCAGGGCGTTGTTGTCACCTGGCAGACAGCAGAAGAGCTCGACTGGTGCGTGGCGCAGTGCCTTGGCGTGGCCAAGACATGCCAAGAGTAAACCTATGAGCCTATGAATGTACAGGTTTTGTATAGCTAAATCAAGGTCATCTAAGTGGTCTTGAGAGGCAGTTCTTGCTGAGCCATATGCCCGAGTTCGATCTTCACTTCTTACCAGGCCACCTCAACTCAGCAGGTCCAAAAAAATGATGGTGGGATCTGCAAGGCTCCGTGTCAGTGGATGGAAAATCCATGCTGGACGACAATATTGCTTTCGCGCTTATGGCGCAGATCCTAAGTCCTGCCTTCCGTTCTGCATGTCATGCTGCCTTGCTTGCAAAAAGCTTGGCACGTGGCTGTGCCTGCTTTTCATGCTGCAAAGGCCTGGAACGCATCGAGCATGAATCCAAGGCATCAAGTGCGTTTGGGCACAAATGTAAACAAACACTTCTATGGTTATCTGTGGGCATATTTATGGGCATGTAAATGTGCAGATGGGACATACTCTTTGGCCTTGCATGATGCAGACTCAAGCCTGAAACATCAAGATTCTGGATGAAGGCCTCCCATGGCCGTGGTCCTCCCGTACCTGCTCCCTTACGCCAGCTACCACGAATCAAGCCGCTTTGCTGGGAGAGTGTTTGATTGCCTGCAACGCCATGCATTGCTTGCAGAAAATGAGAGGTTGCATGACTGCCCAGGATCAAACTGGCGGCCACTCTTCTTCGCGAAATACTTTGCGCTGACCGCTAAGCTTCAGAGCAGTGCTTGTCTCAGTCCGGCTTTCCTCTCCTTGGGGATCCAAGCATTGCTTTGGCGTGGTCCGCATGCTCCATTCATGCCTCTATTTTCAATTCTTGTTTGCGGTGCAGTCCATTGGCTGACAGCAACGGTCAAACTCAAACCTGAACAACACGCAAACAGAAGTTGGCTGCTGCTTCTTTTAAGTGCTTTTCCGTAATTTTCGATGCGCAGGCGGCAGGATTGCCAGAGTCTCAGAAGAGAAGTCCACCGTAAAGATAGATTCCGTACTTCACAGGCATGCCGGAACGCCAGCTGTCTTCCCAGATGCTGGCGTGAGTGCTGCAAAGATCTGTCTTACCGGAGGTCGATGCGCTAATCGGCGGCGGAGTTCGGCTCATGAACTGGACAAACTTCAGGCCGTGCTTCCCGTAGACTGCGTGACTGCGCAGTGCGGAGCGGTGGAGGGGGAGCCCTGAAATCCAGAAGGTGGCAGGACTTCCCCGGCAAATCTGATGGCAACACCTATGTACAAGCCCTGGTGCGGGCATGGTTTCTAAATCTTGTATGTAGCAGCTCCGTACAAAGGAGCTGGGGCCGTTTGCCTCTGGCTCCACTCCGCCTGTGGCCGGGCACCCGCAGACTGGCAACATTTCTGTGCGCGTTACCTTGCACAGCCTGCAGAAGCCTCATCATAGGTTGCACCGGCCGACTTCTTGCTCTATGGCTACGGTAGCTGTACCGCCGCGACCCAAAAGTGCTAGCCAAATTTTGCCACTCTCTGCGGAATGATGCAAGGGCTGGGCCAAATTCTTGTCGTCAGCACTTCGGGCTGCCGTCTTCTCAGGTTGTGCTTGCAGCAGGGAGTTGCACGAAACAGTACAAGAACCATGTAGTTTCAGCTCGAAAGATCAACAAGTTGTGAACTGCAGGTGGGAGTTCCATCACGGGAAGTTGGTTCGTATCTGTCTCAAACCAGCTCACAGTGTTGTTAAGCCTGGTTGCTGCGGAGCTGGGAAACCTATATTGTCGCTCAGAATCATGCAGGCCCTGCTGGAACACCGGCATTTTCAGTGGTGGGGCCCTTAGGTAATCAGGATGGATTTGGTTTGCTGTTATTCTTTGCTTCGGGTGCAATTAGATCGTACCACTTCTATGCAGGCATTTGCTTGACGGGGCACGTGGGTTCCTGGACAGGTCATGATTGGGCGTCATGCCTCTGATTCAAGCTCCCAAGGCTT